AACACCGAGCTGGGTGGGGCCTTCGGTGCAAGGCAGCTGTGAGGAGCTAGGTTGCGTGAGGCCTGCGGGGCCCACGGCGCCGACTCAGGTCAGGCTGGTAGGGGCCACAGCCGCAGACTCAGGGCAGGCAGGCGGCTACCTGGTAGGCGCCCTCTGCTGCCGCGGCGGCGGCACTATGCTGCGCGCTGTGCTCCTGCAACAAGGCCACGTCTAGGAAGCGCTCCCCGCACCATACGCACTTGAACTGCTGCTCGCGGGCGTGCACGCCCTGGTGCTTGTTGAGATGCTCCCGCTGCTTGAAGGCCTTGTCACAGTTGGGGCACTTGTAGGGCTTCTCGCCCGTGTGTACCCGCCGGTGCCGCTGCAGGTCTGACGCGTACTTGAAGCGTTTCTCGCAGTCTGGGCACTTGAGTGGCTTCTCACGGGCCGGGTCGCAGCGGTGCTGCACGAACTCAGAAGAGGAGAAGAAGCGGCGTTCGCACAGCGTGCAGCGCAGGGGCTTCTCCGCCGCCGCACAGTGGGCCAGCTGGTGCTTCTGCAGGGCCGACGCCCGCTTGTAGGCCTTGTTGCACACAGGGCACTTGAAGGGCCGCTCGGCCGCGCCGGGCAGGCACTTGTGCCGCAGCAGCTCGGCAGACTGGTCAAAGCCCTTCTGGCACACGGGGCACTTGAAGAGAGTCTCGAGGGTGTGCACGTGCTGGTGGTAGAGCAGGTGGCTGGGCTGCCCAAAGCCCTTCTCACACAGGCCGCATTTGAAGGGCTCCTCGGTCTTGTGCGTGCGCCGGTGCCGCATCAGTGCGTACTGCTGCTTGAAGCCCATGGGGCACAGGTCGCACTTGAAGGGCCGCTCAGCGCTGTGTGTGCGCTCATGCTGCCGCAGGTCCGAGGGCCGCTTGAAGGCCTTCTGGCACTCGCCGCAGCGGAAGGGCCGCTCCCCGCTTGGCGTGCACGGGTGCTGCAGCAGCTCCGACGACTCCTTGAAATGCAACTCGCACACGTTGCAGCGGAACAGGTGGTGCTCGCCCGAGTGCGCATACATGTGGCGCACCAGGTGAGAGCGGTGTTTGAAGGTCTTCTCACAGACTGCGCACTTGTAGGGCCGCTCGGAGCTGTGCGTGCGCTTGTGGTGCACCAGGTGCGACGACTGACTGAAGCTCTTGTCGCACAGCGTGCACTTGTAGGGCTTCTCACCGGTGTGGATCCGCTCATGCCGAGAGAGCTCCGACAGGTGCTTGAAGGGCTTTTGGCAGATGGGGCAGCTGTAGGGCTTGTCAGCCTGTTCAGCAGGGGTGACAGTGGAAGGCGGGGGTGCTGCAGGAAGCGACGGGGCGGCAGTGGTGGCCGGCTCCGCTGCCTCAGCTGGCTTGTAGGTCTTCTCACAGATGGAACACTTCACCAGGCCACTGTGGGAGCTGTGGTGCTGCGCCAGTGAGGTGAGTAGTGAGAAGCCCATCTTGCAGACCCCACAGACAAAGGGCTTCTGTTCAGCCTGCACGCACTGGTGCTCCAGCAGGTCAGTGGCCTGGTGGAAGATTTTGAGACACTGTGTACACTGGAATGAGCGGTCATGGCCCGCCAGACACTGGTGCTCATGCGGACTGGACAGGTGCGCCAGGTCGTGACCACACACGCCACATTTGGGGCCTGGCTCTCCTGCTGCCTGCAGGGGCGCGTGTTGTGGGGGCTGCAGGCCCGGGTCTGGCTGCAGGAGGATGCCATAGACGGCACAGCCCAGGGGGTTCTCCGCCGTGCCCGGGGGCAGTGTGTGCTCCGCCAGGGCTGGCGGTGGCTCTGCATGGTGCTGAGGCTGCGGTGGCTGTGGCTGCTGTGGCTGCGTCTGTGGCGGCTGTTGCCAGCTTTCCGACATGCTTGGGAAGATGAAACAGGGTTTGGAGAGTAATGGCTTCAGTTTCCCGCTTCACGTGACCCAATCCAGAGAGAGAAGCTGCCCGATCACAGAGATGGACAAGGACCTCAGACAAGGCACAGAAGAGGAGCTGGTCACACAGCCCGAGTCAGTAACCAAGTGAACAAACTACAAGGCTCTGCCTGCAGGACATGGGGGGCTCTTCAAGGGAGGGTCCCAGCAGTACCAGGGAGGCTCTGCCTTCCCCAGTGATCTGTTCTGTAGAGAAGAGAGAAAGTATGAGATTGAGGAAGGGACAAGCAGCAGTTTCCTGGGCCCTCTCCCTGGCCTGCCCGCACTCACCACACCATCACAAACCACGAATCGGGTAAGGCAGGTGCTCAGGGCTGCAGAACTCCTCCCTTCTCAGGCGATCAGAGAGGTCTGCAGCCAGCTCAGCTCCTCCAGGCAGTGGAAATGGCAGTGGCCTCCACTCCCACCCACCTCAGTGCCCCGCCCCTGGGCCAGGACATCCCAGCCTCCACAAGTCCCCTCCAGCTTCCTGCCAACCCTTTAGCTGAGACTCACAAGTGAGAGTCTGGGGTTATCTGCCTACAATACAGAATCCTCCTTGAGGCCCACAGCTCCTCTTTTGTCACTACCCTGAGTCTCAATCTGGGACACCACTACTTACACCTGAGGAGGCCAGACCCCCCAGGTCTGAGAGCCCAGTGGCAAATGGCCTCTCACAGTCGATATTTAGGACAACTTCATGGAACCAAGGACCATTTCAAAAACCCTCACCTATGAGGGACTGACCACACCCCCTCAACTATCCCTGACCACAGCCCATTCTCTCCCCACATGACACGATGGTGGCCCTGCAGAGACCAGAGCCCATAGGTGCACAGGTGATGGGGGCTAGATGACAGGGCCACAGAACCACCCAGGCTTGATGTCCACACAGCAGAACTTCCTCACTCTAGTTCTCTCCCAGAACTCTCTCTCTTTCTCTCTCTCTCTCTCTCTCTCACACACACACACACACACACAAAGTCCTAAATCCTCTGAATCTCATAGTGTCAAGGCCTGCAGGAAAATGTAAAAAACTGCACTGGTCTGCCTTGGCAATGCAGGATGCAGTACGCTAACCACGGAGCATTTCTCATCACCTCTCTAGAGATAACTCCATTCTCTTACTCCAAGCCTATAACATTCTGGGTAATTGTTGAAAGGTAAAGCCCACCCAGCCCAGGCAAATCTCTAACTCACCACTTTGTGGCAGCATAAGGTAATGCCAGCGAGAGGGAGGAACTTTCAGAGTCAGATGCAACCCACTTCCAGGTTCCCAGCTCATCTGCCTCTTACATTTAAAAGTTTGTAAGTTTTCTCCTGAGCAGAGGAAGAAGGAAGGAAAGCGTTCACAGGCCAGCCTGGCCTCTAACTGCTCTGCCAAAGAAATGTAAGAGTCAGGCTAAACGCTGTCATCCTCAGCATCTTCCGGAAGGGAGGGAGGAGAGGAGCGGCTGCTCTGGGTGGAGGCAGCAGGTTGCTTGAGCAAGCAGGTACCACTCGGTTCTCTAAGCCTTCCTGGGACAGACAGGGGGAAGGTGGGCTTCTCTGAGCGCCTCTAGGTCCGTTGTGCCAACCCACTGTTTTGTTTGCTTTTTCTGGCATGAATGGCTGTCAGACAGTGTCCCCTGGCTTGGCCTGCAGCTCCCCCTGGCCACCCCAGCCCTCCTGCAGCAAGGTGCAGCCAGGAAGCCTCTGTGATCACTCCGCAAAGGGGAGAGAGTAGGCGAGGAGAGGCAGGGGAGGCCCCCAACCTGCGCCCCACCCCGGCTCTTCCTCCTCCCTGAGAAACCGAATGAAAGCCGATCACCTCCCGCCGGCCCTGCCTGCAGGCCCAGCTGGGCTGCGTCCTGTCAGCCCTCGCCCGGGATGGCCCGGCCGCTGCGACCCGAGGGCGGGCCCCGAGGGCGGCCGGGCTGGAGAAAGGCCCCAGGGCTGCAGGCCGGGCTCAGGAAGCGGCTGCGCGTCGAGGCCCGGCCTGGGCCTCCCAGGAGCTCAAGAGGCCGCCAGGTCGCGGCGGAGGGGCGCGGGGGGGCGGCCGGGCCTGCAGAGGAAGGGGTGCGGCGGGCGCGGGGGTGGCCCCCAGATGCGGCCCCGGGCGCCCCGCCGCTCACCTGCTCCAGGCCGCCTGCAGGGCAGGCGCGGGGCGAGCGGCGACCAGCTGCTCTCTCGGCCGCCCCTTTATTCCGGCTCCATCCGCGGCGGCGCGGCCTACGCGCGCTGCCAATCCCCGGCCTCGCGTAGCGGCGGCGGCCGGACCGGGGGCGGGGGACGGGCTAGCGGCGGCCGGAACGGAGGAAGCGACGCGCGCTGCCGGAGTAGCGGGGCCGGGGCGAGGAGCGCCGGGAGGGCGGGCGGACGGACCGATGGCCTTGCGGAGACGGGCGGACTGGCGGGCGGCGCGGGGGCCAGGGAGGCGGGGCCGGGGGAGGAGCGGCATCCCGGGCGGCGGCGGCGAATGCAGGAGGAGCGGGCGGCGCGGAGCGAGGCCGCCCCCTGCCGGGGACCCCGCAGCCGGGCCAGGTCGGACAAGCCGGGTGCTCCGGACGGTTCTCGAGTCGCCAGGCCTGGGAGCCTGGGCTAACCGTGGAAGGGAGCTCTGCTTCCGGCCACACCACTCGGGCTTAAGGGAGGGGGCTCCCGGTGACCGCCCTCGGCCCGGCTCTGCGCAGGAGAGGAGGGGCCTCCTAGAGCCTCTGGTCTTACACTATTGACCCGCCCCTAACTGCTCAACTTGGCTCTTACGGGCTCCGACTTTGGGCTGGTTTGAGGAGGAGGCTCCAGGACCTCTGATCCTGGCCGGGCTCGGGGCAGGCGGGGGTATACCGCTGGGTCTAGTGCGCTGACCAGGGACCGTCGTGTCTCGGATGTCTGGTCCCAGGTAGCTGCAGAAAGAGCAGCGGGCAGAAAGGTGAGGGCCCTGAGCGATCTGTGAAATGGGTACACGAAGGCTGGCGGGTGCCAGGAGGCTGCAGGTGGCCAGAGCCGCGTGCGCAGCCTGCAGGCAGCGTGGAGTCGGTGGGCTGAATTTTGGTCCCTGTCCTGCCGGGTTCCGCCCCTCCCGGCCCCGCCCCGAGGCGGTGCCAGCCCAGGTCCCGCCCCTGGGAGGGCGCTTCCGGTACAGCGGAACTTCGGGTGCCGGGTGAGGCTGCTCGTGGACCTGTTCTGTGGTCTTGGATGAGGCCCCATGAGCGCGGCGCCCCTGGTGGGCTACAGCAGCAGCGGTTCCGAGGATGAGTCCGAGGACGGGAGGCAGACCAGGCCGGGGGATGGGAGCCACCGTCGGTAAGGAGTGAGGAAGTCTCTCCGGAGGGCGCGCGCATTCACCCTGGACCCTGACGGGACCCGAGTGTCTGGGGCTGGAGTGGGGAGGGAGGGTGCGGGGCGGCTCCGGGAAAGGAAAAGGGGACACAGGGAGAAAGGGGGATCCAGAAGGTACCCCCAGACAAAGCCCCAGAGTGGTCCCACCTGGCTAGGGCCAAGTTGGGAGGCCAGACCTGCGTTCCGGTCCAGCCTCCACGCTGGCCTATTCTACCGCCCGGCACACATCCCTGTACCATCCTAGGTCCGTTTCCTGATTTGAACACAATTGCGATAGTAATACTTGCTAAAGCTTAGGGAGAGCCTTTTCATTCATCCAGTAAATATTCACTGAGCACCCACTCCATGCCAGGCTGGGGTCTGGGAATTCAGCAGTGAACAAAACCATCAGCCTCTCTGACTTCCTGGGGCTTAGGTTCTTAAATGCTAGGCCTTATCTTTGCAGAGTGCTTTACAAGCCGTAGCTCAGTTGATCTCACAATTGCTCTATCAGATAGACATATACCTTCAGATGAGGCATTTGAGGCCCAGAAAGGGGACATAACTTGCCCAAGATCACAGAGCTAAAAAGTGCCACTCCAGCCTGTCCAGCTTGGGAATGTGACCCCTGAACCACATTGCTGTATGCCCTGTTGTTTCCCATGGGGACCTCGTGCCCCAGAGTTGGAGACCCCAATGAGACAATACTGGAGAAATAATTTTGCTATCTGGAAGCTGCTTCCAGCACCAGGCTGGAAACACACCCTCAGAGCCACCATATATAAGGGGTTACAACTTTTGTGGTATGTACAAAGGTAGAGAATGCTAAGAGGATAAATGTGGTCATTTTTCTGTTTTTCTTTTGCAGTGGCCAGAGCCCCCTTCCCAGGCAGAGATTTCCAGTACCTGACAGTGTGCTGAACATGTTCCCGGGCACCGAGGAGGGGCCTGAAGATGACAGCACAAAACACGGGGGACGGGTGCGCACCTTCCCCCACGAGCGGGGCAACTGGGCCACCCACGTCTATGTACCATGTGAGTGATGTGTAAAAGGAAAGTGGCCAAGACCCATAGACCCATAGGTGCCTCATGAAGGGTAGAATCTGGCCCCAACTAGGAAGAAACCAGAAACCTCTAACACTGGTTGTGGGAAAGTCATTGACTTAGCAGAGAAAGAGCAGGTTTCAAGAATTGGGGATTTTTCTGTCATCTTGGTTTTGAATTCATAGCCTGAAATATGTATTACCTCTGGGTATAATATTCTCCCAGTTCATGAGGAGGTGACCAAAGGAGAATCTGGAGCAGGGTGTCAAGGTCATGCCAGGGCACAGCAGGCACTTTATTTCTGAGAGGGCCCTGGGTACGCTGGGTGTGCAAGGTTCAAATCCCACCCTAGCTCTGATCAGCAGGTGGCAGGCAGAAAATGCCCAGGCTTCAGAGTCAGACCTCACTCCGCTGCCCACTACTCTGGGTGCCCTTTATAAGATACTAGACTTCTCAGAGCTTCTATTTCTTCAAATCTAAAATGGGGGTAGCGCTGGCGAGACCAGGTAGCTCACGCCCATAATCCCAGCACTTTGGGAGGCGGAGGCAGGCAGATTACTTGAGCCCAGGCATTTGAGACCAGCCTGGGCAACATGGGGAAACCCTGTCTCTACCAAAAATACAAAAAAATTAGTCAGGCGTGGTGGCACACGCCTGTGGTCCCCACTACTTGGGAGGCTGAGGTGGGAGGATTGCTTGACCCTGGGAGTTAGAGATTGTGGTGTACCAAGATCGCTCCACTGCACTCCAGCCTGAGTGACAGAGTGAGACTCCATCTCAAATAAAATAAAATTAAAATAAATAAATAGATAAAATGGGAGAGTAGTAATACCAGTCTTCTAAGACTATCATGAAGATTAAATCAGATAATCTATGTCAAGTTGTTAGCAAAGTACACAGAGTAAGTTTAGGTCTTGAAACCTTCATTTCCCCATCTGCCCAAGGAGGATGACATGATTCTTTATGCTGCCTATCCACCAGGGGATTTGGGCAAATTGAGTAGGATACTGGGTGTGAGAAGACTCTGGCTTTTTTTTTTTTTTTTTTTTTTTTGAGAGAGGGAATTTCGCTCTTGTCGCCCAGCTGGAGTGCAATGGCACTATCTCAGCTCACTGCAATCTCCACCTCCGGGGTTCAAGCGATTCTCCTGCCTCAGCCTCCCGAATAACTGGGACTACAGGTGCCCGCCACCACCCCTGGCTGATTTTTGTATTTTTAGTAGAGACAGTGTTTTAACCATGTTGGCCAGGCTAGTCTCGAGCTACTGACCTCAGGTGATCCACCTGCTTCTGCCTCCCAGAGTGCTGGGATTACAGGCGTGAGCCACCATGCCTGGCTGAGAAGACATGCAGCTGCAGTCACATATTTGATAAATAAACAAATAACATGTGAACATACAAGGGTGGTCATTGTGGTGTTCTTTGTGAAAAATTGGAATCATGCTAAATGTCTATCAACAGTAGACTGATTAGAGAAATGCTAATCCATTCTGATTAATAGATTACTATGGAGCTCTAATAATGAACTTGACCTCTCTATACTGAGGGGAAAGATGTCCAACATGTAATGTTATATGTAGAAACTAGTTCCAGAACTGTTTAAATGGTATACTCTCTGTTTTTTTTTTTTAAACAAATAAGATATATAAATTAGTATATGCATATGGAAATAGGCACCAAAGTTTAACAGTAGTTATCTCTAGGGTAGTTGGTGTTGAAAGGGGGGGTATATGCCACTAGGGGAGAGGTCAAGATGATCCCACACTTTAGGGTGTAGGAGAAAATCATTAGAACTTTTAAATGTATTTCTTTTTATCTCATCTTTTTATATTTCTGTTTTTGAGAGTGCACATTTTATAACACATAATTTTACAGAGTAGCACACACTTGTAATTTATAAATATATATTTATTAGAGTATACATGCAAACTTGTTTTACTAATGGGCTGTGTGATCACAGTAGTTTGGAGACCATTGCTTTAGGTGACAATTTCAGGGGCTCCTGCTTTTTCCTTTGCATTTTTTTAAACATTTTTTGTCTTAATAGACTTTATTTATTTGTTTGTTTGAGACAGAGTCTTGCTCTGTCACCCAGACTGGAGTGCAGTGGCACAATCTCGGCTAACTGCTACCTCTGCCTCCCAGGTTCAAGCGATTCTCTTGCCTCAGCCTCCTGAGTAGCTGGGACTACAGGCATGCACCACCATGCCCAGCTAATTTTTTGTATTTTAGTGGAGATGGGGTTTCACCATGTTGCCCAGGCTGGTCTCAAACTCCTGAGCTCAGCCCATCCACCCACCTTGACCTCCCAAAGTGCTAGGATTACAGGCATCAGCCACAGTGCTAGGATTACAGGCATCAGCCAC